TTGACCCCAGAGTGAACAGTAGAACTGACGAGTACCAGGATGATGACCGACCCCCATCGGCCAAGAGCAATACATATTTTGCTGTGGCCCCTGTGAAAGGTGATAAGGTCAATGATAAAGAGAACCTTGTCAGTCAGGGCCCCAGATCTCACGTTTTTGACTAAAACCCACACAACTAACATACAGGGGGGAACTACCTGTTTCAGCATACTTCTATCATTTCAATTAAAATCATAAGTTCTATTGTTAGGGTTAATACCTATTGAAATGAATGTTTTGGATTGAGATCTTAAACAATAGAGTCTAATATTTTAAGTTCATTAAGGTGGAGTATGATTGGTAGCTATTAAATTATTGCAATAGTTTTAGAAAAAGTTTGATAAATTAAATGAATCACACATTCATATTTATTTTTGAAACGGAAACATTTTGAGAAATTGCTTTAAAATTTTTTTAAATCTTTCGGGAATGATTTATTTGAGACTCCCTCTGAATTATATTTAAATTTGTATGTGTTTGATAGGGCCAAAACAAACCGTCTCAAATTCAGTGTAAAGAGTTGAATTCTGTTTTATCGTATTTCATTGTAAAATTTGATGCAGGCCCTCCTTGTTTACAAGTGAGGAATTCTATCAGTATTCTGTATTATAAATTGTACAAATGTAGGCACAATCTTCCAACTGATGCAGCACAACCAGTTGTTAACTTGTTTTTTGTTATTGTATATACATGGCCATATGACCAACTATTTATAAGTGGTTGTATACAAATGTCTTCGGTCAGTGCATGAACTCATCATACAATCTTGACATTTTTTCCTACAAAATATTTTATAGAAGCATGTTGCCGAGAGTTCAGCTTGAATAAAACAACTATTGAAACTCAAAATTCATCAACTGAGCAAATAATATTAAAATACCTTTTAGTTTAGTAGACTACTAAAATACCTTTTAGTTTAGTAGTCAAATAAAATACCTATTAGTAAAACTAAAGTTCATTTATTAAATTAACTATAAAAATAGGTTCTTCTTATTTTTTTTCACTTTTAGTTTATTACCCAAAAGCCACTTTTTCTATGACAAGTCTTTCATTACAGTTTTTATAGAATGTAATATCTCACATGATACAAAATTATTAATGACCATATTGGCTTATAACAGCGTTTTCTCTCTCCACACTCAATGGCTTTATCTCTAGGCTGCATGCCTAAAATTTTGTGATATAGTGTGCTGTGTTAGTGTTAGACTCCAGTTTTTGACTGGTCAGGTCACAACTGAGCTAACTGACCAAAGACATGTTTTCTTCTTGAGACCCTGTCATGTTATGATGTTGGCCGTGATGTGGGCCTGCCGTCTGCAGACTGATGGGAATATTTGGGCTCAGCGTGGCTAAAAATTGTGTGAATAACATAATGAGAAATAATGTCCTTAATTGATCAAAAGTTGACATTGAGCCATACCTGCCAACCTGCACGGTTTACACTGCAGTGTGTTGTTGTTTTGTTTTTGATCCCACAGGTTGGCAGGTATGGCTGAGCCCTGGGGGTTTGTTTTCAGTTGCAGGTGTTTTTAATTTAATGCAGTTGTCTAAAGTTGAACTTTGAAATGCCTCGCAAATCTTAATGCTACTTATACTTGAACTCTGTCAAGAGGTATCTCATACATTTGGAACATGTTTATAGGAATGCTGGTTGATTTTCGTTTGGTTCAAAAAACCGTAACTTTAAAAAAAAAAAAAATCAAGCAATTAATGATCTGCTAAGTTTGAAAACAAAAAAATCTTTTTTCAAAGAGTAGTTACCCTGTAGAATGTGTTACATTTTGGAATTAGAACCTGTTCTGAATAATTCCAACACATAGAAGCCAAGAAATGTGAGAAATTTGATTTTCAAATTTTATTTTTCTCTTATAATTTAAAAGTCCCTTTTATTGAGCCTTAAATGTTGTCAACTGTAATGAGTAAATGGAACTCTTTTTAAGAGGTTCACTGTTACCAATATCCTTGGGTTCATCTGTAAAGTTTAGTTTTTTCAATATGTTTTCTGGGTCCTCGCATCGATGGTGTGAAGGTATTGTAGTCATTTCAATCAGATCTCGGACTAGGAAAAACCTTGGGGTATTTTACTGAAAAAAATATGTGATATTTTTTTAAACATGGTTTACATCTTGTGTTATTTATAATATGATGACATATACTTCTCAAACAAATGTGATGACATATACTTCTCAAACAAATGTGATGCGTACACTTCTCAAACAAATATGATGACATATACTTCTCAAACAAATGTGATGCGTATACTTCTCAAACAAATGTGATATTTTTTTACTGTCACCAAATGTATTATTTTTACTGTAAAAAATATTTTTATCTTTCCGCCCATAAAACCTGTTGCATGCTTATTGAACAAGTTTACACGAAAATGGAAGTCAAAACAGCTGTCGACGATGAAACCTGTGATGGCCACCATTTTTCTTCTTCAGCGAGACAGTTGCATCTTTGATAAGCTGATGTGCATTGTAAACCTCAGATTAAAAACCAAACTTACAGTTTTCAAGAAACATTTTACAACTATCAGTATCAGAATCTGTGATATATATATATATATATATATATTTATTTTTTTTACAGTTAATGCATCTTTCCAAAATTGTGTTAAGCAACACATATAAATGCAAATATATGTATACTGTTACTGTTACTTTGTATGTTTTTGGGTTGATTTTTACAAAAATAAATACTATATAGTACGAAGAGATGGGATAGCATTGTCCATTTTTGTGTATATCTCTGTTGTATGTAGACCATTTCAACATAGTAAATGTCTGACATGAGTAAAAAAAATGGTGAAATCCCTTGTTGACGGTGCTGATGACTGCAATCGGTGGCGAGCATAGGGCAATGTAATGGGTGGAACCAAGCTGGGCGTCATCTCAGTGGGTGGAATTAGCGGTGGGGGCATTGGGCAGTGTAATGGGTAGAACCAAGCTGGGCGTCATCTCAGTGGGTGCTATTAGCGGTGGAGGTGCATTGGGCAGTGTAATGGGTAGAACCAAGCTGGGCGTCATCTCAGTGGGTGCTATTAGCGGTGGAGGTGCATAGGGCAGTGTAATGGATGGAACCAAGCTGGGCGTCATCTCAGTGGGTGCTATTAGCGGTGGAGGTGCATTGGGCAGTGTAATGGATGGAACCAAGCTGGGCGTCATCTCAGAGGGTGCTATTAGCGGTGGAGGTGCATTGGGCCGGGTAATGGATGGAACCAAGCTGGGCGTCATCTCAGTGGGTGC